GGCGTGGGCGACAAAAAATACTAGGTTACTACAAGTTAGCGTACCTATGGAGGTACCTGAAGTAGTTAACCGATTCGTTAGTGAGAGCCCTGTTTAAACGTAATCGGTCGAAATATCCGAATAATGACTCTGGGTATCTAGCAGGGTCTTAAAGACATAAAACATAAAGACATCAGGCCAACAAGGAGCCTCGACGGCCCATCGAGGTTGGCCCACCCCAGGTTCCGCACCCATCCTTGACACTGATCGTACCACCCGACCGGCCTGAATTTAGCTACAAATGGGATGTTTAGACCGAACTCGTCCAAACGATTTTTAAATGCTGCCCGAGTGACTCCCTACAATTTCGTTTGGCGGACCATTCCAGTAATTCACTCCCCTTTGACTAAATGGCATCTACCTCCTCATAGTTCTACTCCTTCCTTTTGCTAATTGAAACTGGTTTCCACCAAGTCTCCGCCTAATTTCCATTGCTCCTTGTAGATTTACGTTGTCTTTACGTTCAATAATTTTGAATGCCTCTATGAGGCTCCGTCTAAGTTAACGATATTTCAGTGAACACAAATCCAAGGCCTTAAGCCTATCCTTACGTTCTAATTTGTCAATCCGATTATTGTCCTAGTTACTTTTTGCTGTAGCCTCTCCAACCTGTCCTTTATCTTTTCGGAAGCATGGGGACCAGGCATGTACACAATACGTCAGGTTCGGCCTGACGTAAGTTAAGTGCAACTTTTTGACAACATTCATACTCTTGTAATGGACATTCCTGTTAATAAGTCCCAACATCCGAAGTGGCTTGGCTCTAGCAGCTCACCTTGGTTTTCAGCCTTTAAATCCCTGAAAATTATAATCTCTAAGTCCTTTTCTTTCTCGATCTGGTCCATCTCTCGGCCTCCCACTTTATAGCAAATGCCCTCGCTGCCAGAACGACCCAAATGCATCACCTTGCACTTATCATAATCAAACGACATCTGCCACAGAGAAGCCCTGCTCACCAGTTTCTTTAAGTCAAGTTTGACGTGGTCTGCATTTTTCGACACTCCTATCAATTTAATATCGTCAGCAAGTTTAAGCACCTTACTTTCCAAGTCTATCTCAACATTATTCACAAAAGTAATAAACAGCAAGAGGCCCACACCGACCCCTGTGGAACCCCACCCTTTGTTAGCTCCCAATGAGATTTAGTACTACTGAGTGCCATTTAGCTATCTATCAGACTCGCATAACTTATGTTTCTTATTGTACACATACTTCGACTTCGACTTCGACACAGGTATATTACGGATGGAACTGGTTGGAACGTTCGTGTCAGCCATTCACGACAAAGCGCCACCACTGAGCACGGTCTTGCCCACGCTCCGCAGTCTCTGATCCAGTCGAGCCTGGACGGCTACAACGTGTGCATCTGCGCGTACGGCCAGACCGGCTCCGGCAAGACGTACACCCTGCTGGGGGACGAGCGGCAGCCGGGCGTGGTGCCCCGCGCCTTCCAGCGCCTCTTCCAGCTGACGGAGGCGCGCAGCGGTCAGTTCAGCTACGCCGTCAGCGCCTACATGCTGGAGCTGTACAACGACCGGCTGCTCGACCTGCTCGCGCCACCCGGCGGGAAGTACGAGGAGAAACTGGAGGTGAGAACATGGATAGACATACAATACACATTATGGTGATCATTGGGGTTTCGTGGCGCACCGACTATTGCGGTTGTTTTGCGACCAGCATAGGCATGCTCATACATGTGTAGTGACACCAACCCGCGCGTTTTAGCACAGATCGAGATTTAGCCTGCCGTTTTATCGGGAGTATTTCGCATCATCTTTTGATATCTTTGGGTGGTGAAGTGTTCGCTCAAAACCGTGAACTTGAACGAATGTACTTTGTCATGTCAATGTCACCAGAAGCAAGGCTGCTTTAAAGGGAGTGCCCCATTTATATGGGGGTTTGAACTGAAAAAAAACACCTTGGAAACCCTCGGTGCTGTTCACAATCCTGCCCTTCTTAAGACCTAAGCTCCTCTAGTTTCTGAACCACAGACCCGCCGAAATCGGAAAGGCTTATGGGGGAGTGTATTTCAAAGTCACCTTGGCATTCATGATGTCATAATACGTCATTCAAACCCTGCCATTCCATAAGCCAGGCAGTGACCAAAATCCAGAAAAAAAGATTGACGAGGCGTTCATCAGATAAAACGGCCACCAATTGGCTTTCAGTGTCATAGCTGATGCCATAATATGTCAGTATAATTTGTCAATGTCAGCTGATGTCATAATAACATCATTCAAATCCTGCCATTCCATAAGTCATGCGGTGATCAAAGCCAAGCGAAATGATTGTTGAGGCGTTCATATTTGGCGTTCATAAGCGCGATTTCCAGATAAAACGGCCACCAATTGTCTCTCGATGTTGTGCAGGGTACGATGACGTCATCACACCCTGACGCATTAAGAAGCATACTTACTAACCAGAGAATTGTGCTGCCCTGGAGCAGTCTTTTCCACTTAAAAATTATACCGAATTCAAAAGTTAGTTTGTTTCATAATTTCTGATGCTTCACTATCTCCAAATATGAAACATTCCCTGTATGGCCGCTGCCACCAGAAATCTGCTCACTTTTCGTAGTTCACTCATCGTGGTCTCAGCGGGCAGACGAAACGGAAGTTCCTCCATCCGACGTCGCTACAACGTCCCACGCATATGACCATAAGCCATATCTCACGTCAGCCCTGCTGTGCGCCATTGCAGGTGAAGAAGGACAAGCGAGGCCTGGTGCACGTGCAGGGCGCCACGGTGACGGCGTGCCAGGACGCAGCCCAGCTGCAGCGGCTGTTCCAGCAGGCGGTCAGTACGCGGCACACGGCCGCCACCCGGCTCAACGTGGCCAGCTCGCGCTCCCACCTGGTGATCGGCGTCACGGTCGAGGCCACCAGCCGCGTCAACGGCACCGTCTTCAGCGGCAAGCTCAGCCTGCTCGACCTGGCCGGCAGCGAGCGCGTCGCCAAGTCGGGCGCCACCGCTGACCAGCTGAAGGAGGCCAACGCCATCAACCGCTCGCTGTCGGCGCTGGCCGACGTCATCTCGTCCCTGGCCGCCGAGCAGAGCTTCATCCCCTACAGGTCTGTGACGTCATGACGTCATCCATAGCTGAGCAGAGCCTCATCTCCCTCAGACCAGCGACGTCACAGTGACGTCATCCATAGCCGAGCGTAACTTCGGACCCTTCAGGTCAGTGACGTCATAGCGCGACAGTCGTGGCCGGGCAGGGCTTCATTTCTTACAGGTCAGTTGTGTCGGTCAAAGGTGAACCGAATGTCGTCCCCTAACTACGAGTAATAGTGTCTTTAGCCGAATTTTATTCTATGCGAGTAAGTGCCGGCATCCAAAGCCAGCGGTTTCATCCTTGCAGGTCAGTCGCGTGCATAGCCGATAAAAGCCTCATTTATACAGGTCGGTGATATCAGTGAGTAAACAATGGCTGGTCAGGAATTTGTCTCCTTTGTATCCGTGGCGCCTAAGTAAGTGCACCAATTACTGAATTTGACTTCATATACCCCACAGTACGTCATCGAACTAGCCAGTAACGCAGCAGGGGCGGTATTTGAGATCCGTCCAAATGAATGTGTTAGGTTCGCGGTATTTCGTTGTGAAAGCGATCTTGAACTGCCGTGACGTCACGGTGACTGACAAACATTGCGTCCACAGGAACAGCAAGCTGACGATGCTGATGCAGGACAGTCTGGGCGGCAACGCCAAAACCCTGATGTTCGTCAACATCTCGCCGGGGATCTACAACATCGACGAGACGATGGTGTCACTCATGTACGCCTCTCGTGTGAAACAGATCACCAACTCGGCAGCCAGAAACGCAGAGAACAAGGAAATCACCAGGCTAAAGAACGTGAGTACGCAGCGCAACACCAGCGAAAATTGCTTTTCAACTAGTGCCTTGTGAACGACCGATCGCCAGCTTTCCTGCAGACTGTCCGTCTCCACTGTCCAAACTTGGAGACATGGCGAATTGCTGTGGCCATTCGTTCACATGGTCGTGCATTTACGTAAGTTGTTCGGCGCATCCGCGAGGAACATAATTCAAGTAAATATTAATAATCAAATATAATAATTAAATAATAATGAATGATACTATTAAGTAATAATTAAAGAACATAATTAAAAGAACATAATAAAGAACAGTGGTGATAGCCTTATTACTCGGAGAAAGTCCAGAATTGAGAAATAGATTGGTTGATATTTCGGCAGAGTGCCTCTATCGAAACAATAGCAGGAGAGAAAGAGAAAAATATCAACCAATCCATATCTCCATTTTCGTGGTTTTTGTCCGAGGAACAAGGCTATTAATACTGTCTTATCTAGTCATGTACTTCAGTAACACTGTTTATCTGCTTAGCAGTCGCTAGGAGCGATGCGGCACAAAGCGCCAAGTCTAATCACCGCCCATGTAGCTGATGAGAGCTTCGTCAACATGTCGCCGCGACATGCCCGGTGCCCTCAGATCATCGCGAAGCTGAAGCAGCGGGGGGAGAGCTCGCAGTCGAGCCTGGACGAGAGGGACGACAGCTGACCCCACACCTTTCACTCCCGAGGAGGCGTCAGAGTCGCGCCCGTCAGACGATACAGTGACGCCTCGCGGAGGCCACAGCATCACTCTTGAGAGGACGCAGGCGAGCCCCGGAGCAAGCGATACATTAGCGTCCGTGAGCAGGCGCTTCTCAGTGTAGATCTCAGCGGCGGCCGAGTGAGGACTCGACCTTGGTGACGAGGCCCCGGCGGCATTGAAGCAGCCACCTCGCACCGTGTCAGGACACGTCATATGTTTTATACGCTTGCGGCGGGCAGTGCATGAAGGGCGTGACGAAGCAGGTGCAGCGGGATACGTTGTCACGAGCCGACCCGGCGCCACGCGCAGTGATCGGAAGACAAACGAATTATCCACGTCCGGCTGGTGGCCGCCGTCCTTCGATGTCTGCATCGCTTCAATACATAAGTGATACATACAAGGCGTTTATTCCTTGGCATCAACGACAGCGTCACCGCCATCACACATTTATATCACCGTCATCACACCCTGTCTCATCCTCACTGGCTTCCATCCGCTCTCACAAGCATCCGTCCCCTCCCACCGACTTCCACCCGTCTCACTGCACCCAGCCAGCCCTACTCGCGCCTCCAATTCTCCAGCTCAGCCAGCTCCTGCATGAACTTGGGGTCCTCGCTGCGGTTGCCGCGTAGCTTGGCCATCTCGTGGAACACGTTGCGCTCATGCTTGGAGGCGGCCCGCTCCCTGGCCGGCACGTCCTCACGCAGCACACGCGGCACGTACCGCGGCACGAACTCGTCCAGTCTGGGGACGGGGCGCACAGTGTCGGTGCCCAGCACGGGCCCGCTGGCACGTGCTCTGGGGCGAGCTCCGACTCGCACGGCAGGGACATTGACACACACGTCGAGGACAGGGGACGACATTGCGTCGTGGCCGACTGGGTTGAGAGCGAGCCGCGGTCTCAAACCGGTGGATGACAGCGGAGCAAGGCAGTAGCTGCGTAGCAAACACGGGGCGATGACGTCTGTACACGAGCAGCAAACATTTACCTCAGGAATGCTTCAGATCTAAACATACGACTCAGTTCCCTGAAGTAGACATAGATGGTCCTGGGTCGCAAGGTTGTGAGAAACATTATTTTCTGCTGATATTAGCATTATTATCTGCTGAGTTATAAATCTCATCACAGGTCCAGAAAAACAGGAGCACTTTCGTTCAATGTTTTAGGCAAAGTTTTTCACAAGCAGCACGATCTACGGGACCTTGCGGACTGGTTGCAGAATGCGCTACAGATTCTGCAGGCGTCAACTGTCGCGGACTGACAGTGCTACAGTAAGCCCGCGGAAGACGGCTAAAAATTGTTCATAAAACTAGCTCTAGTCCACAGCGGCTGAAGTCTGCAGAGTTCGCACCCGATTCTGCGGTCTTCAACTAACACGGACTGGTGAGGTACCACTGTGAGCTCCCTTTACCCGCGCTTAACGGGTCTGTGGGATTCAAAATAGCAACTCTAGTACCCGACAGGTAGCGACTGCGGAGCCTCTCGCGGATCTTGCAGTCGGTCCGCATGGTGTGAACGAGCTTTTAAGGTGGCTGAAGGTCTAGCTGTTGGCCTATTCATGGACGTCCGGCGTCCGTGTGTCAAATCAAAAGATGTGGTTTGTTGGGGTGCGCTCTACCATGCCGGCATGTGCGTTGCCAGATGATGGGCGCGGCTGTTCAGTTTTCATAATTGTAGTGCTTCACCTCACTCCGTCGCCCTGACTCCACATAGCCCGTTGGGAAGTAGACTTGCCTCTATGAACATGACTCAAAGCGAATCAGACATGACCAACACGCGTCCCCCGCCCAGCCTCTCTGCCGCTCGCGCCGCGCCCGCCCGGGGTCACCGTTCGTGTGGCGCCGCAGGCTATGCTCTCGTGACCCCGGCCAGGCCAACTGCGGCGGCCCATCACGAGCCACCCCGTCAGGCGCGGAGGCGGACAGGACGCGACACTACAGTAATGAACAAGTCAAGCCGCTCTAACGAAATGTGTTCCATAGTTTGATTAAAGGATCCAATTTCTGAGGCAGGGGCAAATATCAGCTTAGTTTTAACCAATATCCACACATCACAGACAGAAAACCAGAACAGCCATGTCTAAAACCAGGAACTTCTGGTAATGACTACAAGGTCAGAAAAACAATGCCAGCTATGATACACATACACACATACCAAAAAATGATCCCGTTACGAGCAGCCGCGGGGAATCGGAGCGGACTCCATTCTTTGCCCACGCGAGCTTCACTGGCCAGCAGGCTTTGGCCATTTTAACTCCATATGAATCCAACCGATTATGATTAAACAATTTGCAGCTAAATCATGATTCGAATTGCTCGCTATCATATAGTGATTCGAATCAACTCGTTATTCAAGAATATTGGCATAACCGGTTTTCACTGATTCTTAAACCAACAAAAGCGGAGTCTAAATTATTATCTGAATCAGCGATATTCGAATCAATTTCTTTTCAATGAACTAGCCTATGAACTGAACTAGCCTATATTGCCAGCCATCTGGCCGGGGACTAATCACAAAAAGTTGTCACTAAGCTTGACCAATCCACCTGACCGTCTCCGTACATACACCTAACATGGGGCCAGAAGAGCATAACCCTTCTTCCCTCCGATCAGCGCGCGCAATCGCACCAAGCCCCGCGTCCACGACTGGTCACCGACGGCCGTTGGGCCACCACCGGCTCAAGCCGCTCCACTCACCTTCTGTCGCCTGGGAACTGATTGAGCTCGAAGAAGCGCTTCCTCGCCTCCATCGGTCGCGTCTGGAACTGCACCTTGTAGATGCGTTCCCAGAGGTAGATCTCGTCCTTGAGCCGATGGCGCGGCCGGTTGGACATGACGTGGAAGAAGGTCTCGCGGTAGCGTGTTCGCAGCCAGTCATCCTCCAGGGCGTCTGTCGGGCGGCGCCAACCTCGTGTCAGTGGGGAGCGCGCGCAGCCAGTCATCCTCCAGGGCGTCTGTCGGGCGGTGCCAACCTCGGGTCAGTGGGGAGCGGGCGCAGCCAGTCATCCTCCAGGGCGTCTGCCGGGCGGTGCCAACCTCGTGTCAGTGGGGAGCGCGCGCAGCCAGTCATCCTCCAGGGCGTCTGCCGGGCGGTGCCAACCTCGGGTCAGTGGGGAGCGCGCGCAGCCAGTCATCCTCCAGGGCGTCTGCCGGGCGGTGCCAACCTCGGGTCAGTGGGGAGCGCGCGCAGCCAGTCATCCTCCAGGGCGTCTGTCGGGCGGCGCCAACCTCGGGTCAGTGGGGAGCGCGCGCAGCCAGTCGTCCTCGTCCCGGATGTTGCTCTCCGAACACGCGATGAGACAGAAGGCAAAGGCTTACTCCGTGCGAGCGCTCTCTACTTCACTCCACCCCTGGTCCGCCGTGGAATCATCACTGTCAGCTGCTGTCCATCTAGCCTAAGTATTGACTGTGATGTCTGGCTCGCGCAGGTGGACATGCTCCACCTCGGGGCAGTGGTTCTTTCTACACTGCCTTTTTAGAAATACTGTCCACGCAGCGAACTTAGGCATGGCCCAAACCACACCACCAGGGCTCTAGACTCGGGCGGGCGAGTCGGCCCAAACCATACCACCAGAACTCTATACTAGGACGGGCGAGTCGGCCCAAATCCCACTACCAGGGCTCTAGACCCGGGCGGGCGAGTCGGCCCAAACCATATCACCAGAGCTCTACACCAGGACGGGCGCGTCGGTCCGAAACAACGATGCCGCGACCATGATATGAATAGTAGGGAATGAGAACCTGGACGAACGCGACCCCGTCCCCGTGTTTTTGTTTTGTTTTGTTCAATTGGGCACTTCTCCCTGCCATTGCCGTAGTAAAATAAGCGATTTCCCATCACATTTCGCCTGGGGGTGGGGGTGAGGATTACGGGCCACAGGGTAAGAGGCCACACTCCCTCAACGCGACCGTCGGGGCCGGATCCAGCGGCGAACCCAGCATCCGTGCGCCGTCCGCCCCGGCCAAACCGCCGCCGCTGGCTGGGTCAGATGGCGAAACACGGCACGTGACGCCGTCACGTGCCGTGTCCGAACACGTGACGTGCCGTCACGTCATCACAGTCATCCGACACAGTCATCCGAACGCCCGGCAGAAAGGGGTGAAGAGGTGAACACGTGCGACCATACGGCGCGGCCCCTCACCGAGACTGCGCGTCGGGTCTAGGTACGGCCGCAGCTCGATGCCGTCTCTGTCGCTCGTCCTCAGCAGGTACATCTGCAGTAGCTTCTTTAGCACGTCTTCATTGAGGCCCTCCACCTGCCGGCAGGCGCCGGTCAGACGGCGGTCGGCGCTGAACCATCACGCCAACGCAGACCGTGGGCACCGCCCGGCGAGCTGGACGCGGGTCAAACGTGACGAACGGTAGTCAAGTACCCGCACCACATCTACCGCGCTCTGTTGAGAACGACTCTATGCGAAGAAACATTGGGCAGGATCTGAACGATGCAAAATGGTGTACATCACTGAGGTCATTCAAATCAACGGGGCACGTCAGCATGCGGGACCGGGGTCCCGTCCAGGACACGTACCCGTCCCATCCCCGCTTCGGTGACGCTACCGCGGCAACGGAAGGGGCGTGGAGGGGGGAGGGGAGGACAGCAATCCTGCATAAGTAACCCCTGCATCAGTGACGCGTTCATACAACACCAGCGGGTGGGGAGGGAAAGGGCAGCAGCAGTCCCACCCTCCTCAGCTCCTCACCCCCGCGTCGGTGACGCGCTCGTACAGCGCCATCTCGGGGGTGCCCCAGCAGGTGTTGCCGGGCGCGCCCAGCTCGGGCAGCGCCAGCAGCGCCGCCGTGGTGTTGAGCTGGTACGCGTAGAAGGACCAGAGCCGGCCGTCGGTGACGACCGTCTGAGACGTCAGCGGGTACGTCAGCTCCGTCAGCGGCGAGAAGCCTGCAAACCACGGCCAGAGGCTGGTCCGGAGCGGTCCGCTCTCCCGCCACCAAAGCTCGCCAAAGGCAAATATACAGCTGGCCAAAACACATTCATATCGTCAAAACAGAAACAAACAGCAATGCATCACGACAAACATAACTTGTGCAACGTGCATGTTCCATGCCATGTGCACGTATTCGCCATAAACTGAGAAACACCGGTCCTCATTCCCGTGTGTCCGAACTTTCTCTTCCGGGCATCCATGTCTCCTTCCGACTAATTCTAGCATTACGCACAGTACGGACTTTCTACTCAGATCACGACTGCACATAAACAATTTAGGCATACCATCTGACGGGAGAGACTGCTGTACTGAGAACCGTACCAGCCACCCTGCGGTTTGCCTGTCTCAAACCCGCCAACCACGGTCCGAGGGGACGTCCGCCATGACCGGCGGCAAGACCCCTCCGCGCACCTCCCTTCACCCTTATTCCCGCGTTCAATACCCCACCTCAGCCTACCCCGCACACCCAATGACTGGCAGCTCGCGTCGGCCGCTCGGTCATCATCCGGGTCCCCAAAGCCGATCACGAGCCTACGGGACTGGCCGCCGACCTGACTGAACCCCAGCCCCTACCGGCACGGCCGGCACGCAGTCCCCGGCGCGTCCGCCGCCAGCCTACCTAGGTTGCAGGCCTGCGCCAGGCAGGTGGCGAAGCCGGCCAGACAGCCCTGCGCGTGCAGCGCGTCGGGCCGGTCGGCGGCCGCGTGCTGGCCGTAGTAGCTGGCGTGGCGGTGCAGGTGCTCGCGTGTGAGCCACGTGGCCACGCCGAACTGGCGGCTGGCGTCCGACCACACACCTGCGGCAGAGCGCCAGCCACAGCCGACCATCAGCGCACGGCGCACCGCCGGCCACAGCCGACCATCAGCACACAGCGCACCGCCGGCCACAGCAGACCATCAGCACACGGCGCACCGCCGGCCACAGCAGACCATCAGGACACAGCGCACCGCCGGCCACAGCAGACCATCAGCACACGCACAGCCGACCATCAGCACACGGCGCACCGCCGGTCACAGCAGACCATCAGCACAAGGCGCACCACCAGCCACAGCCGACCATCAGCGCACGGCGTACCGCCGGCCATAGCAGACCATCAGCGCACGGCGCACCGCCGGCCACAGCCGACCATCAGCACACGACGCACCGCCGGCCACAGCCGACCATCAGCGCACGGTGCACCGCCGGCCAGCGCGCAAGGACAGCTGGAGCCGCCAGCAGGACTCGATCGGCAGGTGACGCAGACACGCCGACATGCACAGCCGCCAGACGAGGTCCGATCACACGTCTGGCACGGTCACCGATGACGACAACTGCGCGAGCGACGGATTTGACCACAGCATGTACACAGCACATGCGCGACCTTTCCAGAAAGTGGAGCCGAAATAAGGTACGAGCATTGACGTATCCACTAGGTCACCGGGACGACAGCTTGCCGCCCGCAACCTATGCCGCCACACCAGTCGCCACCGCCGCCAACACCCGCACCTGGTACGTTGGTGCCGTGCCTGAACTTGTAGCCGCATTGCCGGACGCGCGGCTCGCGCGCCTGCAGCGGCAGCGGCTCCGGCTGGCGGCCGGCCGGGTGGTCGGCCGGCGCCAGCGGCGGCAGCGGCAGCTGACAGCGCACCTGCAGCGCCGGCCGGCCCAGGTACTGCACTGGCCGGCTGGCGGGCGCCTCGCGCTCCTCCTCCGGCACACGCTTGTCTCGGGAACGGATCGCCACCTGGTGGCCGTCAGGTGGTATGCCGTGCAACCACCAGAAGGCCTCGAGCCGCGGCAGCACGTCCGACTGGTGGGGCAGAGCCACGGTACAGCGTCAGCTGGGTCTGCTGCAGGAGCTGCTCACTTGATGCTGCCGTCAGGCTAACATGGCGGTCGAAACAGGTGGTGAAGGCAGACAAATATGATGCATATATGGAAAGCAAATCACAAATGTTAATGTTAGA